CCCTCGACACACAGACAAGGTACCAGCGCGAAAATATTGAAATACTCTGATGAAAAACGCACTTGAGAATCGAACTCAGGTCTGCTACGGGCGACGACAAGCGCTTAACCACTTCATCACAGACGCCGGCAAAGTCGCGTTATGGTGGACAGCCACATCTAAAAACAAAAAACGGGGATAAAGTTTCAGCGGAATCTCAATCGACTGCTAGAGACGCCCTCCCGCCGCCCGCTAAGCAGGATAAATAACCTGCAGATATGTTCAGGGCACTCCCCGGGAAGCCTTTGGCTGTCTGAGGCGCGTGCTTTATGTGAGCAACACCCGACCGTGTATGATTGCGCATGCTTTTGCCACCATCGACATAATTAGAGATCATTTTGGGGGGCAGGCTGCTCTGACCGTCTGTCAGTGAGGGCAAACCCGCCCTTGCTAAGCGGTTTTAGTTTTGGTTTAGTTTTAGTAAGAGCTTTACGGCACTTGCAACACAATAAGGTCATATAAGTGCCGAAGATTAGAGGTGTTACAAGAGAGTAACAAACATAAAAAAAGAAGGAGGGGAGAAAAAGACGATAGATGTTTGATAGGAAAGAAGAAGCAAACCGCAGCAGTTCGAGCACCCGTTAACAACCCACAAAGCCCACCAGTATCACCAGAAGGAGTAAACTAACTAAAACCCCACCAGCTGGTGGCATTGGCCACCATAAACTCTATTCATTATCCCCAACCATCAAACAGAAGATTATCGAGAGAAATTGAAAAAAAAAACCCAACCCGCAATCAATACGTCATCACTTATCCAAAAAGAAGTTGCAGTTATGGATTACAGCAACCCCAATAGCGTAAAGCTACAAAGCCCTCGGTCGTCAAAAAGAAAAACAGAAGCCAATATTACAGGGTACTTTCGGAGAGAAGGCTCCAAGCTCCAATAGGCTTGGAACAAAGTAACCGCTGGGACGGCAAGGCGGAATCAGAACTGCGGGGGTATTTGAATTGATTTTTATTTTGTTTTTTATTTGTATATGTTTTACGCCCCATTGACACAATTTTGATCAATAATTATGAGGCGGGCTGCTTCGACCTGGCCTGTCAGGGCCAACATATTAGTTTTAGTAAGCGTTTTACGGCACTTACAACACAGTTATTAGATTATATAAGTACCGAAGATTAGAGGTGTGACAAGAAAGAAACAAACATAAAAAAGAAGGAGAGATGCAGACGATAATTGTTTGATAGAAAAAAAGGAGCAAACCACACCGGAGCACCTGCCAACCAACCACCTACTCATGTCTGCTGTGTGCAACCTAGAAGAGCCGAACTGCTATACCATTGACGCCGGCCATTTGAATTTATGGTACCCCAAAATACCCAACCAAAACCCACAGGGTCAGCTAGTACATTACGTAGATATTGCCAGGTCAGTACATCCCCTCCAAAAAAACAAACAAAAAAACCGAGCTTCAATGCTCAACTAAGGAATGCATTAGATCTATGTTATGATGTAGACCTATCTCTCAACTCATCATCAACGCAAGTTAGATCGATGTTCCCATTTCTAGACAGTTAAGTCTGTAGCGATAAAAAATAAAAGACACACGAGGTCAGCCATGAGCCAAGATAGAGGTGGGGTTGCCAAATCGAGTGACGTGTCGGTGTGCGCGCGTGCCACATGATTACCACGTGACAATAGAATGTTGTCTCGGTCACAGCTGTGACGTCTTCGCACCAACCAACACAGATTTATAGACCTGCGGTATATTATTATGTAGGCCTACTTGGAACACATTGTATGCGTCCTCAAAAATCGAAATTATTTCTTCATCGTTCGTCGGAAAGTGAAAGTACATGGAGAGAAAACATTCATGAACATTGTAGATCTAAATCTTTATTGTATTTTCACATGTTTTGGGTTGGGGATTTTTTTAAGGTGGGTGGTGGTTTGTTTTTACTTTGGGTTTTTGTTGTTTTTTTTCTTTGGGG